GCTCAAACCCATGAACTGTGAGATCATGACCTGAGCTGAAGTCAGACGCCCAACCAACTGAGCCACCCAGGTTTTTATTCTTTAAATAAATGGTGTATATACTTCTACTTGCTTTTCTCAGTCAACACAATTGATATTTATCCATCTTCTTCTAGTTATTTCTGTTGAACTAATAAATAAATAAATTTATTTATTTTCCTGTTAATAGATATATTGTTTCTAAATTTGGGGGTTACCAAGATGCAGTAAGTCTTCCTGTACATGTCTTCTTGTGTACACGTGCAAGTATTTCTCTGCAATGTGGAAGCAAAACTGTTGGGTCATGGAGTATATGCACCTTCGTTTTGTTTGATATTACCAGCTTGCTCTTCAAAGCAGTTGCACCAATATGTACCTCCCCTCGGCAAGCCTTAAGACTTTCCAGAGTGCAGCATCTTTGTCAACACTTGGCTTTGTCAAACTTTAAAATTATTGTAAATTTGTGGGTGAATATGGTATCTTACCGTTTCTTTCATTTTCCTCATTATTAGCAAGAGGAGCATACTTTTCATGTCTATTGACTATCTAGATTTCTCTTACGTAAATTACTTTGCCAGTTCTGTTTTTTTTTTTCTTGATCTATAGAAAGGATGTATATATCATCTTATATTTTTAAGTTTGGCTTTTCATATTTAGAGTTAATTCACCTAGAATTATTTTATGTGTAGTGTGAGGTGAGGACCTTTTCCACATGGATAATCAGTCCAGGAACCATGTATTTAATAGTTTATACCACTCTGTTACCTATCAAGTTTCCTTATATACTTGTGTCTGTTCTGGGCACTGTATTCTGTTCCATTTTTCTCTTCTAGCCCTACTGTAATGCCAAGCTGTTGTAATCACTGTATTTCATAGTGAAACTCATATATGGTCATGGTAGTTCTCCCACTTTGTTCTTCAAAATTGTCCTCATTATTAGCCCCTTGCTCTTCCATGCAAATTATATAATGAATGCATGAAATTTCACACACACCCACACACATGCAAATACTCTGGTGGTGTTTTGATTGGAAGAGAATTGAATTTATAGATCAACTTTGGGGAGAATTAATATTATGATATTGAGTGTTACTAGCTAGAAACAGGGTATATTGCTGCATTCATTAGTATTTCCTAACTTTTTTTTTTAATAAAATTTCAGAATTTTCCGTATAAAGGTCTTGTCCATATTGCATCTCTTTTGTTAGATTCATCTTGAAGACCTTTTATTTTGCTATTTTGATGGTATATATTTTTAAATTATGTTTTCTGTTTGTTGCTGGTGTATAGTAATAGAACAGTTGGATTTGTATATTGATCCTATAGCTAGTCATCTTGTTTCATTCCATTATTAATTCCAATAATTTGTTTATATATTCTCTTGGGTTTTCTCTTTTCAGCTTATAATAATGAAAATAAGAGCTACCATGAATTTCATTTAGATTTTCCAGTCACTTTAAATAATAAGAACAATTTGATTTTACTAAAACATTTTAGTTTACTGCAATAACAAAAACTCACAACTTCATTCAAAGTTAAATTCTTGGAATGCCTGGCTGGTTCAGTTGGTTATCCATTGGACTTTTTGATTTCCGCTCAGTTCATGATCTCATAGTTTGTGAGATTGAGCCCTGTCCACGCAGAGCCCGCTTGAGATTCTCTCTCCGTCTCTCTCTCTGACACTCCCCCATCATGCATGTGTTTTCTCTCTCAAAATAAATCAACATTTTGGGGCACCTGGGTGGCTCACTCGGTTAAGCGTCTAACTTCGGCTCAGGTCATGATCTCACAATTCATGAGTTTGAGCCCCGCATCAGACTTCGTGCTGTCAGCTCAGAGCCTGGAGCCTGCTTCTAGATTCTGTGTCTCCCTCTCTCTCTCCCCCCCTCCCTGGCTTGTACTCTGTCTCTCTCTCAAGAATAAATAAAAGTTAAAAAAATTTTTTTAAAGAAATAAAC